TGATGGAGGGAAGATAGGAAGTTGGAGAGAGGTAGAAGAAAGAGGTGTATGGAGAGCAGAAGAGCTATAATGGGTTTTTATTTTCTGGGCATTGTTGATAAGAGGAACTGATGTAATTATTTAATACTATATGATACTGGCTATGTATAGTATACATGATTGTATGTTATAAAAATGGAAATAAAAAAAATATTTTTTAAAAAACATATTTTTCATGCACAGATAATCAAAATGAATCGTGTATACACCCCAGAAGAAAAGTTGGATTTAAACAATTGTTTGACACATGCAGTTCCACATAAAACATTCAACAGAAAATATGAAATTCATATTTATTTTAATAACTGGAACATGGTTCATATATTCAAGTAATATACTGATGGAGATACTACTGTTACCTTCTAGTCATGATTATGAACATATTGCTTGCAGTAAATGAAGATGAACACTTAAGTCATTTCCGATCTAAAAACATAATAAATGTTCTGAAATTTGAGAGTTTGATAATACTTTTAAAGAACTGGAAAAATACGATATCTAGTTTAAGATGTAAATTCTGCTACAATGATAAATGTATTGCTAGTTTAATTAAAATCATATATGTTTTTACTAATAGTAATGGACCACTTGCCGTAGGAATTGACCAAGCTTCACTGCAGAATGAAAATGGTAACAAATGTTTGCAAACCAGTCCGTCAGAAGAAACTGACAATAATTTTGAACCAACTGATAAACAAAATTTTGACTGTGCCATTACTACCCCACCAAATGTATCACCAGATGATCAAAAAATGTATCAGGATTTATTAGTAAGTTTTGTTTGCTCAATATAACTTTATTAAATTCAACTGTTAGACAGTGCTGGCCCTATAAATTACTTCTGATTTTTTTTAAAAAAGTATTTCATAGTAAAGTCTTTATTATCCATGCATCTTGAATTTCCATGCTTTTCTTAAAGTGCTCAATAGGATATATCCAGCTTATTGTTAATATTTCAGAACTGCATTCTACTAGATACATGATTATTTCTTTAAAAAAGTGGTGTGGGACAAAATAGTAGGTTAGTAAGTTGCATGATTATGTAAAATTAAACAGAATTATGATATTTCAAATGAAAACTTGGAACAGATTATTTCTAAATGTATATATTCTAAAGACTTATACAAAAATCTGTTTAACTATCAGCTAATGACATTAGTTGTGCAGCTATGATTTGAGAGCTAGAAATAAATCGCTAACAGGTTTTCCTATGGTAATATGAATACATTGTCAACATGCTGTGAATTCCTATGGAGATGTCATCCAGCAATTTTATTCATCTACCGGTAATTTTATGTTCTTTGTAATATTTCTATAGGGTCAGGTAAATCGATTTTTGAAGGAATCCTCTGATGAAAGCAGTCCTTCTCTGAAAGAGGATCTGATTAAAGACGAATACATTTCATCCTTAAAAATAAACACGGCACAAAAAAGAAGCTCAACATCAGACATGGTCCTAAGAAATAAAGATAGTGTTCTGAATGCAACCTTGAAGCAATTAAGAAACCTTGGAGTAAATTTTGATTCTCCTGAGAAGATGAGCAATGTACACAAAGTGGAGAATGCTGGGTAATGGCAATTTATTGATTTTTATTTATTGCTAGGTTTTATATAGTACCTCAATCAGTACAGTTCTGAGCTGCATATAACCAACAAATCAGTTAATGATGTTTTTTTTTCTTGAGCAAAAGTTTGTAATATCCAACCCAGAACAAAGTCTGGATAGCCTTGACTATTAGTAAAGCATTGTTACTGTGTTCAACCTTCATGGATTGAAATTTGGTTTTTACTGCCCAGCATTAAAGTTATTTCCAGTTCAGGATTTGGATGCAATATTAAACCATTGTTAATTTGAAATGAGAATGAAAACTATATTTCTGATTTCTTTCCTACAGTCTTGTCTATGCAAATCTGGCCTATCTATATGAAAAACTAATCAAAATTTGCAAAATTTTAATATTTAATAAAGCCACAAATGACTGAGTATCCATGCATCTATATCTGCCTAATAATCTGAAATATCTGTGACAGGTGTCTTTTGCAGATAGCTATCTAGAGATCAGGGTTACTGTTGAGCAGATTGTAAATTCTCCTTTGCATAGAATTGCTTAAAAAGCTTACAAGGCTAAATGTCTGTCAATTCTACCTATCTACTTTTGTAGATGAAATAATCTGGACAAATGCATTCTTATTTCAATCATGACTTGCATTGTATATACCATAGTATTTTCTTTTCTTTTCTATGTAACAAATCAAAATGGTTTTCTTATGGACAGGAAGACATTATAAAGGACAGAAATAAAAGGCTGCTCCTAGACATACAAATCAGACCATCCATATTAAATTTCCCTGATAGAGACAAACAATCTCTACTAAAGTTAATCATTTTATAAATTTCACTGACATTATGAGAACAAATTAATGTGTCATATTAAAGCTGTCAAATTAGGAAACTACATGGATACTAAAACAGATGACATTCATTGTATATTCACACTTTATGACCAGCTGGTTATTAATAAATTGAATAAATGGTAATGTGCAGAAATATTTAAATGTGTCTTTTTCTTTTCTAGTGTATTGGCTTGCATTAATCCTGAAGCAATAGTACCAGGACTAAACTATATCTCTTTTGCTAATGTTGGTATGAGTGGCTTAACTCCCACTGGAGCAGACCTGAGCATAGAGGCAAATGCTATTGCTCTCAAGTACCTGAATGAAAATCAACTGTCACAGCTTTCTTTAAATCATTCAAGCCAGAGAAATTCTGTGACTTCATCTTTACAGACTCTCCTGCAAACAAATACAGAGAAGTCTTTGATGGGCCTTGGTTTAATTTCACCTGGCAACATGTCTTTTGCAACCAAGAGATATATGAAGAAGTATGGCCTTCTACAAAGCAATGATGGTAGTGATGATGAAGAAGAGCAACCATCTGGGAACTACAAGAGCAAAGAGAGCTTAGAGTCTGTTCTGCACTTGGATTTCAACCCTGTTTTAGAGGGCTTTGCTTCCTGGAAAGGCTATTCTGAAAGAACTGGTGAGAAGCAGATTAATTTTGATCCAACACAAACTGAATCGTCTTGTCACCTGCTGCATTCAGAAGGGCCCATCTTAAGAAATGTTACAAATGCTGTTTTGCCACCAAGAATCCTGCACCAAACTAATGAACCTCCGCACCCTTTTTTAAAGGATTTAAAGCCAAAAATGAAACTTTTGCCTGGAGAAGCAGAATTTACACAGCATCCAGACAAAGAAAATCTGAATGTTCACATTGTGACTGGAATTCCACAAACTCCCTCTGTTGATAATTTAAATCAAGCAGAAAATGTTAACTTAGTAGGCACTTTTCTCGATGTAAAACAACTCAGACAGCTCCCAAAGTTATTCTGACTTATTTACAAATGACTGGCATCCTCTTTTCTTCCTTTTCTTGTTCAGAAAAATCAAAAGATGCTGCTTACTAAATATAACTTAATTTTTTTCTTGGCAATCAATAAATGGGAGAGTGGTTCCTAATTGCATATAGAGAAATACAGCAGGTTGGGTCACACAATAAATGTAGGTCTTTATGCATATTAGAATATATTTACATTCCAAATGGTCATTGAATATAATCAGGATACAACTGCTATGTAGGGTATTTTTAAAGATGTTGATTTATTGTTTATTAAATGCAACAAGAATGAAATTGACCATGGTGAAGCAGACAGTGAGTTTAAAGCAAGTTTGATTTGAAGTGTTTACCAATTTTAACTCTTATTTTATGAATTTGAAATAAAATGTCCTATGATTATTTGTAACAAATGCAATTAGGAAACAAAACTAGGGTGACAAATAATAGCCATCTTATGTGTTTGACTTGCTATAAACACCAAACATTATATTCTATAGTTCCTGATTTGTTTGTGTGCTGAAATAAAATTGCTAGACTATTTTTGTAATGTGCTAACTTTTAGAAAACTCTGTTATAAAAATATAATTAAATATAACTTGGTTTAATTTGTGTCTCTAAACCAAGAGGCTTCACATTTATATTACATATGCTTAAGGAAGATGGGTGAACAAGGGATTTGAACAACCAAGGATAAGCTCATCACTGCTTTTCCTTCTGAAGAGTGGAAATTTTCAAAATTATAAGTCAAACTAAATAAAACATCATTGGTTTGGGAAAACAGCCTGCTTTACATTCAGATCTCCTTAGGTGCAGATACCTTATATTCAGAGCATATTTATCATCCTGTCAAATTATAAAATACTTATTAAAAGTAACCCAAGGAGGAATAGATTGGTACATTCTAAAGAGATAATGCTCACAACCATTATGCATATGTTATTGAGTCTTTGGCTCCCATTATCCTCTCAATAGCTTATGCTGCTTACTCATGTGTAGGTGCATTTGCGTGATCAGCCTGCCAAGTGAGCTAAATTGTTTCATGTGCTTCAAATCAATACACATGAAAGTGACAGAGGAAACTCTCCATCCTATGTGGCTGTAACCTGCCCTTACCCATTTTACTGGAATTTATTAGGTTTTTGACATGTCGATATGCATTTTTACTAGAAGTTCAAGTGTGTTGGAAAAGCATTCTCATCCCTCCAGACATTAGACAGCCTCTCTTGGCCAAATTAGTGCCCAGCTATTGGCTTCTACATTAGTTCTGTTTCTTGAATCCTTTCATGCAATTCCCCCCCCCCCCACACACACACAAACAACACAACTTTTTGAAATCAACTTGGTTTCTAACAAGGAGAGTTGGAAAACAAAACCACCAATCTTGTATTTGGAAACAAGGTATATTTACACAATTTTATCTTTATACAACTCTAGAATGGAGTCAATGGAGAAACTAATATTAGATGCAACAGCAGCACAGCACACTTGCAGTGGCAAGAAAATAATATGGAATAATTGGAGTTTTATTGATGTGCTCATTTTCTTGTATTAGTTGGCTTCAAATACTTCCTCTGCAAAAGTGTTTAACTAGCCTCTAACCATCTATCAGGGGAAGGTCTATGTCCCTCCTTTCTGAGATTACATCTGGGTGTTTTCATGTACCTCTACTGTCTGAAGTAGAATCTGATTTTATTTGCTAACTTAATATTATTGGAAACTGTTCTCTAAATTCTTCACATTATTTTGACAGTATCAGATGCCCAAGTGGGAGTGGAGGAGGGGAAGTCTGCCAGAAAAGCAAAAATTTAGAATTACACAATAGAGCCAAATCCTCACCCTATTAATGCTCCAGTTGCTGGATATTTTTCTTGCTGGCTGACAATATGCTGAAGTGGGTCATTAACGAAGCCAGAGCAGAAAACCAGTTAATTGCATATTATAAGTGGCACACACATTACAACACAATTTAGTTAGGAACCACATATTGCGCAATGCAAACAGCCAGTGTTGTGATGATGCTGTTCAGTGGTGCAAAGATGAGGTGGATAGCAGTTTAAATGAGATAATAGGTCCTCTAGTATTGCACTATGATTCTTTGGCATGCACCAAGAAATATTTTGAGGATTGTTTCACACAAAACTTTCAGGATTCTAAACCCTTGCTTCCACAAAATAAGACTCAAAGCCATTAGATCTTTCCACAAAATATTAATCCAGAATTAGACAACCTGGTATCCTTGGTGACATTTTGGGCTTCAATTCCTTTCAGACCAGCCAACAGAGCCAATTGTAGAGACCTGAAAAGAGTATTGTCTAAAACAGAGGTCTCCGACCTTGGCAACTTTAAGCCTGGCGGAGTTCAACTCCCAGCAAAGCTGGCTGGGGGATTCTGGGAGTTGAAGCCCGCCAGGCTTAAAGTTGCCAAGGTTGGAGACCCCTAGTCTAAAAATACTCTATTCAGGTTTCAAGGTACCAGGTTGTCTTATCCTGCCTTGACCCCAGGTACAGTATATGATTCCTGGCTGGGACTACTGAGTGACCAGACCAGGGCACTCTGCTATGATCTCAACATAACTCCATCTATATGGGATCCTGACCCTGCACACAGAGAGGCCTGTTTATCAAATGAAGGGCAGGATAAGAGAGATGGAGGAGGCAGAGGAGAAGCGTGATCTCCATTACTGTGCCCGCCCGGGCAGACGACTTCTGTCTTTCCCATTTCCTGCCTCTGGTGGCTAAAGGAAGTGGCGCTCGTGTTTCCTGACTCTGGTTTAAAACACAGGCCCAGCATACAGTCGTGACTGCTCGGGGAACTAACACTTCCAGCCGTTTCCCCTCCGGCCTGGTGAAAAACCTCTCTGGGGAAAATCCTCGCGCCCCCACTTCAACCTCCAGATCTTGTCCCCAGGGCAAAGGGGGGAGGCGGATATTTAACCCCGCCACTCATCTTTCATCTGCCCTGGCATTTACCCTGTCAGTCCTTCCGTTTCCTTTGCCGACTCTTTGACCGAAGCTTTTTCCCGTTTGCCCCACTTCATTTTGCATTCCCCGGCTGATCGCTCTCTCCTTTAGGCTGGGACACTCCAGAAATGGTTTATTCCACGGCGGCAAGCGCAGCAAACAACACACACACGCGGCTGTGCCACTTTTGGACCCTCAATCTATCGTTGCCGGAAGGTCTACGGTTTCTCCTTCCCACCGAAACTTCATTCCCCATATGGAATAAAAACCGTAGTCTTAAGAATATTTTCTCCCCTCCCCCCGCCCTCACGCATGGGAAGAGACCCCAGAGACACCAGATTTAATCAGTTTTAATCGATTGCAAGGGTGCTTTGAAATAACAGGATCGCAGGTGGTAAATGGGAATCTCGGAATTTCTCCAATCAATTGCATTCTGTGGGAATTTCCCAAAGAGTCATCAGATAAGTAATCTGGATCAGTGGTGAAGTCTATTTTTTTTCTACCGGTTCTATGTGGGTGGCTTGGTGTGGGTGGCAGGGGAAGGATACTGCAATATCTGGTCTGTAAACCAGGAGCAGTTAGTTCTACTTAAGGGAAAGGTGGGGAAACATCATTGTTGCGATTGATGGTACAGTTTTGCTGTGAATTGATTGATAAGACCTTACATGATATTTCATTTTATTCCAGCAGAGTGAGTCAACCTGTTGTGAGATCAGATGCTTAATGGATGTGTTCATGCATACCTTCAAGTCTCTCTTTGCATCAAGATGGGTCTCTTCTCTAAGGACACAACCAGGCTATTCAAGAACTCCTGCCCTTCTTTCCACAAGCAGGTTGGCTTAGAGATGGTGGATAGGTTGGCTTTCCTTACCACTTGAGGCCATGATATGAATTATGTGGTTATGGCTTTGCATCTAGTGTGATCATAGCCAAGGTAGCTTGGAAATTTATATTAAACTAAGATTTGTAGCTCAGGAAAAATATCTGAACCAGTAGGGTATTCAATACACCATGATTAACCAAGCCATGGCTTCCTGTGATGTGTGAATCTCTTTGTCAGGACAGTTTGGTTCTGAGGATCCTTGGTGCTCTCTGAGCTTGCTTGTTTTCTTGCAGATGCTTTATTACCTAAACTAGGAAACATTATCACTGTGGTTCTGTTGTTTACTATTATTACACCAGAAAGATTTTAGTTGGAAAATAAACATCCTTCTCCCTCCCATCTCCTTACTCACCATTCTCCCCAGGGAAGTGAAAGTGAGACCTGTCACTGAGCTGATCAAGGAAGTATTCTGGTATAAGCTGTGCTCCATTATCCCTGAAAGCCCAAATTCTACCACAGAAAGGCCACTGAATGATGCAGCCCTTTCTGGAGCCAATTTATAGAAGGGGTAAGTGGAAGGATCCTCAAGCATCATCAGCTAATGGAGAAACAAGCAGCAAGCTCTTTCACTTAAAGTGGGGTTCAGTGGAATGGTGGGATTAGCCCCCTCTCAAGTTTCCCTTTTGCTTTAATCCTTTGTTATTTTATAAGCTGCCTGGAGTTGTTCAGAACAATTTATGAATGGCCAAATGAATTGATTGATTAAACTTAAGAGGGGAAGTTGGGCGAAGCAGAAGGAAATGCTTCAATGTTGCCAATCAGTGCACCTCCTCCTTTGTCCTGGCAACATTGCCTGGTAATCAGGCAATGTAGGGATTGGAAATCAGCCCGGCTCTCAGCTGAGGAACACAGAAGAGATCTGGGATGAAAGGAGAGAGAATCATTAATAATCAGCAAATTCAGTCCTGACTTTATGGTTTAGAGGCTTGGAGAATGCTAGACCAAAATCTGGAATCATGCTGTTGTGATTACAGTGATCATCAGGGCATCTAGTTGGAATGGAAAATACCAAATACTACCACCATCTCTCTCTCTTTCTCTCTCTCTCCCTCCCTCCCCCCTCTCTCTCACAGAGAGAGAGAGAGAGAGAGAGAGAGAGAGAGGGAGGGAGGGAGGGAGGGAGGGAGGGAGGGAGAGATTTCAATTGCACCAGAGTTGTTGCTAGGTTAGAAAGACACTTCTTGCACAAGTCTTTAGAAATATTAAAATTAAATCATAAAAATAGTAAGGGAAAAAATAGCCATGCCAAATCCTTGTCATCATTCTGTGATACACCTGCTGGTGACACAATCAGCACACAATTGTCAGAAACTGGTTTCTCCATTTGGATCAATTTGGGCAGCAAAGAACTAGCACTCTTCCAGAATGCAAACTTATATTTATAAGGAGCTCCTGTAAAACCTAACACGTTCTAGGGAAAGTGCTAGTCAGGTACCTTCGTGGTGACCAGCTGCCTGGTCTTTCCTCCAACCCAAGCCAAAATTCCCATGGAGGCTGGTGCCCAGGCACCCAAAGGGAGAGGTGTGCCAGCAGTGACCCCTATGAACTGGATAGGCCCCAACCCCTAATCACATCACCGCTCAAAGAGGCAGCCAAAGGTTTCAGGCCAGATCCATAGCAAACTCTGGGGCGGATGGAAACTATTACTTCAAACCTGGAAAAAGCTAAGAGAGATTTTAAGGGATGAGACAGAGTCGACATCCCAAGAACATGGCAGAAAAGGGGTGGCCAGAATTCATTAGTCTCATGATAAGGGGCGGGAAGTCCATATCATTTAAATTGTAGCAGCAAATCCTGGCAGGCAATTCCAGCGTTTCTCAATCTGGACCCCCTTGAAGATGTGTAGCTGGGGAATTCTGGGAGTCTAAATCTATCCATCTTCAAGCCCCTCAAGGTGATTCTTATGCTGAATAATTGTATGCTAAAATATTTTTCTAAAAATAATACACACATTAGTTTTATTGACAAGCTGCTCTCTTCAGCCGTTTATTTTTAAGCGACAAGCGACCACCCTGTCTTCCCTTTAGCGGTACCGTACCTGATTTATTTTGGCTCATTAAATTTAATTAAGAACAGGGTATGTGTTCCCTATTTAAGTGGGGTATGTGTGTGTGTTTGTGTGTGCGTGTGCATGGAGGTGGGGGATGGATAATCACCTCCAAGAAAGCTAAAAGAAAGGATCTTTATTCAAAAGTGGGCAGTCGTTGGGAGCATTTGATTATTCTCGCCTCCCTCTCCCCACCCATCTCTTTGCTGTCTCTTTTTAAAGTGCACCTGAGCGCGCAAACAGACGCGCCTTGAAAGCTCTAAAGCTAGCGATCCAAAATTCTTCTCCCTCTCTCTTTCTCTCTGCATATTCCTGCAATAATTTTCCGCTTTCCCTCGATAAAATTGCCAAATAATAATGAATCATTTCATAAATAATGGGTTTAGGGGCTTATCAGGGCAGGCGGGCCAGTGCCAGCGGCTTATCTCGCTTGGCCACGTTGCTCCAGCGATCCGCTCTCCATACTAAATAGGAAACTGTACGTGATGTGGGAATTAGTTCCTGGCGCTGCGAAGCCGCCCAGCACTTCTCCTCCTCCTCTAAAAAAAAACAACTATAGGGGGAGGGGGGGCAATACCAGCCTCCATGAATAGGCCGCAAAATGGCTCCAGTCATTTTCACCTACGAAAAACAAGTGGTGAGTAAAAGGGGTCGTTTTTCCTCTCTTTTTGTTTGGTTTGTTGTTCAAGAAAGAAAATCGCTTCGTAGGTTAGCCTACCACGGACACACACACGCAGAGTGCCAACTGATATATACATGAGTATAGCGGTAGAGGAGGTATTCTCCTTGAACTAATTTGTTTCAAAAGGAGAGACAGCGAACCACACAGGAAAGGCAGAAGGAACAATTCCTCACTCCTCATATCACCCACTTCTCTTTCTCTCTCTTATTTTTACACCCAGATAGCAAAGAAGGGCTTGCGGGGTGGTGGTGACGGAAGGACGGCCAAATCCTGGGGTGAATTGTTGATCTATTCTTATTTTGCTCACTAGCAGCGCGCGCGCGGGGGGGGGGGGAGCCTTGTAGGAAACCTTCATGCTGATCCAGAAAAGAAAATACTGGCGGAACTGGGCTTGCTGAAGGCCAGGAAATGGGGAAAGAGCAGCGCCCCGAAACGCCTTCAGTGCCCCTGCGAGTAACCCCCCCTCCCCCTCCAGTTTTCTCACCAGACAAGTATTGGGGGGCTACGGGCATAGCGGCCGGGCGGGTCGCCCCCTAAAACTCGATGGCTTTGGGGAAGATTAAGACGTCGGGAAATCCGATTCGGCGGTCTTGAGTCCCTACCCGCCCCGTCTCCTTCCCCGCCCCCCTCCATAATTCGGCATGCAGGAATGGAAATGAAGAACGGTTTTCAATTGTGAAGTTCCAAGATATTAGCAGGGAAGGGAGGGAAATGCCGGGAAAGAACGGCGACAAAATTCGGATGCGAGGAGGCTGCTCGGTTTTTCTGTGGCTAACAGGCCTTAAAAAAACCAAAAAACAAAACCCCAGAGGCTTCCTTTGTAGGCTTCCTTGAAAGTATTTGAAAAGGAAGAGAACACAAGAAAAGAGAAAGGAAAAGAATAGCTTGGCGAAGGGCATGTGTGTCTTGTCAAATAAAAAAAGTGGGGGGGGGGAATTGTGCAAAATAAATATTATTATGATCTAAAAGAGAATGTGCTTGCAGAGGTCTCATGTTAAAGGACTAGATGAAACGGAGGCATCCATTAGTACAGCAAAATGATGTAAATTGGGACCTCCAGAACAAGCTGGACTGAAGGTAGTAATAGTAATCAGGGAGCTAGATTTGTTGAATAATGTTCTTTGATATAATTAAATAATATTTTTGCCCCATGAGTCTATCCTCTTTGTTCAATAGAATGTCAAATATAAAACAGTTTTTCCTATATTGGGTGGTCATTTCTGCTGCTTTTCTTCTGATTTCCACTGAACACTATTTATGGTGATCATTAAAAATCAGGCTAGTAAATGAAGTTTGTAGTCCAGATTGATAGATGGCAGCCAGATTGATAGGCAAAATGTAATTTCCTATAGCTATTGTGCTAGTTCACCAGTCTTCTGATCCTTAATTGTGGTATCTATACATATCTTGTGAATAAAATGTAAATAATTTGGCTATTAATACAGAGTGGCATATCTTAATTCCACAATAGGACAATATTCCACAATAGCACAATAGGACAATATTAACATACAATTAAGTGTGTAATAAAAGCAATCACTCGGTGCCTGCAATAACTTTATGAGTTGAAAGAAGAGACTGTAAATTGCACAAATCAGTAAGACACATCACAGCTAGTCCTCAAACTATTCTGGGAATGGAGAGAAGCCTCAGAACTGAGATCCAGGCTGGTTCCTATTTTTAGTACACCTGTTGTAATGAATGGGACTTGCCAGTCACATCTAACTTGGATTACATCATTTCAGTAGGACTATTTGTATTTTTGGATCTGATATTCCATTCTTAATGGGGAAATACACATTATGTTCCTTGCGCCTTTGTCTGTTTCAGTCATAGTTTAAAACTATGGGGCTCATCTTGTTGAGACTTCACTCCTGGCAACAGGAAGGCTGCCTTAGGTCGCAGCACCAGTAGCATATGGGTTGTCTTTTAAAAACGATTGTATTGATGTTCATATTGTGAAACCACTGACATCCTGTGACATATTTATTAAGCTCGAATCGTATTATTATAACCATTTAAAATGCCTTATTATTTTTAAACTCCTGATGTGCTGACCTAGATATCTCTCCTGCTGGGAACTCTGGGAGTTGTAGTACAATCAACCCCGAAGCATAGGCTTGGTGGAGAAGGAGTATTCTCTCACATAGCCTCGCTTTTTCCAGCAGGAACATGAAGATCTCTGACCTGCTCTGTCCCTCTTCTACAGCAGACAGGCTACCTCTTCCCCCACCTCCCCGGACGATCCAGTGGTGCTTTCGTCTGCGTCTGTCCGCTTTCTCAAAATCAAAACTCTTCCAAATGAGTACAAGAGAGGGCTTTTTTTTGTACCGGTAAGGAGTTATACAAGGAAGACGCAAATATTTCCGAGCTGACCAGGAATCCTCTTTGGCGAGAGGTCTAGACTGCAGAACACTCTGAGACACGCATCCTTCGACTAAGCCACGGTTCACGTTATTCAGGTTCGCTGGCTAAATTTCAATGGGAGAGAGGTGGTCGCTACACGCTAAGCCAACATCGGAACCCAAAACTAGGCAATTCCTCTCCTAACATGGTTTAAAGAATTTCATGATCCCCGCCTCCAAGGAAGTGCCCGGGAATACTAAGGAAGTGTATGTGTGTATCCTAAAGACCAAACGGAGAAATTCTAGGCGTTCTTTCTAGACTGAAAGTTCTCTAGGCTGCCTGAAACGGAACGGAAAGCGCCACCATCCTCCTGTGGTCTCTTTGTGTGTGTGTGTGTGTGTGTGTGTGTGTTAGGGGTAGGTTGGCAGGGTTCGTTGTTTCTGCTTCCCAGTCCCTGCGTCGCCCCCATTTCTTCCGCCCGCTTGCAGAGCTATGAGGCTGCAAGAGTTTCGGCGTTCCCCAGGAAGTCTCGGCCGGACCTTCGCTCAGCGCCTTAGGGAGGTGGAATAAGAAGGCGGCGGCCTTGACAGGGAGAAACTCTTCGGCTGAGCCGAAGTTGCTGCGTCTTCAGACTAACAAGTGTGAATGATGTTTCCCTGTACTAAGTGAGAAATTCTATTTTTTTAAAAAAGGGGGGAAGGGGGCAGAGCAAGCCACACAGAGACGCCAGATCAGAGATTGATGACCGACGAGGAAGATTTTCTGATTTACCCGCTGCCAGCAAAAACAAAAAACCTCTCGCCTTTCCGTGGCCAGAGAAATCAACGTGATCGCTTTTGGGTTCTAAAGATCGTCAGAAAGATACCTCCCGAGTCAAGAGCCCGGGCAGATCTGCAAGTTAAAGCTGTGGGGGTGGGGGGAAGAAACACGTTTCCCAGAGAGGAGAAACTCGTTGCGGCCGGCGAGGCCTCCAAACCCACTGGATCGAGGTCGCTTTGGAGCTAGGTGCTCTTTAAATAGCCCGCTCCTAACATCGAAAACAGTTCAATTTGGAGCGTCTGGATCTCCATTGCAAAACTCCGGTCAATCCCTGGATGGCAGCCAGGTGTTCGAGATTTCGTTATCGGTGCTCTCATCTACCGACATCCGCAGTTCTAGATAGGGAAGCCGTACATGCCCCCCCCCCCCCCGAATTGATGTTGTTTTCCATCAAAAAAATCGAATCTAAACCAAAAGGTTTGGGACTTCGCATTTTACGGACATTCAGCCAAATACAGTCTGCAAAGTCCAGATATCTCTGATTTATTCAGTAAACAAAGAATGGCCGATGCTAAACTCAGGCCCTCGCCAGCATGTTGCTGACCTTCCATTTAAGTCGGAAGACTGCAGCTTCATAGATGAGTTACAGCACAACCATGTATAGTAGCTTGAATCATATAACCGGTGAAGCCACAACATAATTTGTTTGGCTTTGGCTTTCTAGGAACACTGTAACGCTAAATATGATAGTTTCTCAGTCGTAGTGGTGGATTCACAAGAAAACATAGCAAACCTTCCTTTAATGTTTCACACACACGATTGTACAAAGAGGACATTTGCTTAACTTGACATTTGGGTCAGTTTTTTTAAAAAAAAATTATTTATGGAAACATTCTTTATGCGCTGATAAAGCTGACTCGGTCTTTGCTTCACCTTCAGTTCATCATAAATTTTGCGTCCATTTAACACCCCCCTCAACAAAAGAGAGCCAACTGCCGCTTGGTTTTGTACGTGAGGCGTGAAATTAACCAGGGAGGCTCAGTAGAGAAAATCGAACGAAAATGATTTGATTGCATTTAAGCAATCTCAAATTTTAGTTTCTTTAAGTCACATCACTAGTTAGTCGGAATATAAATTTGCTTCAAATGACAACCCTTCAATCGGAATAAAGGTAATCACAATAAAAATAATATGGCCTGATCTCCAGCTCACTCTTAAATTGAAACAGCAAGGCGGAAGATTAAAGCTTAATCCTAAATGCATTTTTAGGGAATGTTTACTAGCAATTAAGACCTACTGGACTGGTTTCTTGACCAGAAAATGTGTTTGGGATTGTAGCTATTAGAACGAAATCGGGAAAAAGTGGTTTTAGCATTACGCTCCCATATTTGATGTGAAGTTTGGCGTTTTTAGAAAAAACGTTTCGGCTATGAAATCCTTTTTCCTCCTTACCTCCCAAAACTGACTTCAGCTGATCTTGCAGAATCCCAGCCCTCATCCTTTGAAGCGATTCTTTATCTCTCTGCCTAGCCGGAAGCCGAGCATCGGTCTGCCCTGGCATCTAAGAAAAGGGCTTTTTTTAAAAAACCGTTATTGTCTTCCGCCTATCAATATGACGAAGGTAACCTTTCCTGGGAGTAACCTCGTCGCTCTACAAGGGACAACTCGTTTTTTTTTAAACGTATACATTCTCATAATTATTATTCTTATTATATTTTAACACTTTTAAACATTCATTTTTCCATATAAAAAATAAGATATATAATCGAGATTGCTTTGCTTACCATCCCTTACACCTATTTTATTTTACTGTCACCCTACTTTTCCTTCTTTTTCTCCCTCCCTCCCTTTTCTACTTTCTTCTTTTCTCCTCTCCTTTCCCTTTCCTTCTTCCCCTTCCTCTCCCCTACTCCTCTCTTCCCCTTCCCCTTCATATCCTCTCTCCTCCTCTTCCTATCCTCCCAGTCTTCCTCTCCTTTCCTCTCTTTTCCTCTCCTCTTCCTCTCTACATTTCCTCTTCTATTGTTGTGGTTGCCTATTTTCCCCTTCCGTCTGGTGTATTTTCGGGATGGCATTCCAGCAAACCCGGTTTAATGTGGTGGAGGATAACCGTAAAAATGGTTTTGGTTTGATATGAAATTTAACTGAATCAATATTTGATACAGCCCCGACCACAAATACTCGAATGCCGAGAGGGACGTTGGAACACAAGTGATTTCCGTGCTTCGTTTGGCAGAAGGTGTCTCTGTGTGTGTGTGTGTTCAATGTCGACATTCGGGGACGAAAGTGCGGCAGCGGTGCATTGCGAACCTGAAATCAAGCGCCAGTCTCTGCAAACGCTTTCTGCCAAGATGTGCCGCTTTCCAGGTAGCGGATGGAGGCTCGGTACCTCGCCACCTATTTCCTCGCGGCGCAGATTGGAAGGCGGAGCTGCGCGGTTCTCCGTGGGTATCTCCGTGGGGCATTGATTCTCAGCGCCTTTGCGACTGTTTCTCGCCTTCGTTTTCCTTGCAATGCCGAGAGAATAAAGTCGACTTCAGTCAGGGCGCTGTCACTATTCTACACCATTCTAACTACCCTACACTTGTTGTTTGGCATTGTTGTTCTTTCTGCCTTGGTATGATTTCTGATGTACACACGCTCCCTCGCTCATTATTAATAGAAGTGAAGCCGATTTCGTGGTGTTTTTTTTTTTGTTCGTTCCCCGAAGGATTGGGCCAAATAATAATTCCGTTCTAACCTTCGGGCTGAACTGTTCAGGTGGCCATCTTGAAGGTTAACCCCACGGAGCGTTTGAATTTTCGGCCTCGGCCCCACCTCTCCCACGCTTTAGGAGCCCGCCGGCCAAGGCACCCCCAGGCTGGGCGACCAAGGAAGAGCTGAAGAATTGGGAAGGGAAAGGAGGAGCTCCCCAGGTTTCTTCCCCTTCTGAATGGGTTTTTTTGCAGGTCTCAGAGCCCCCAGATGAAGGTCTCCTTGCGCCCTCCTTCGGGCCACGTGGGTATCCCCGGGACTGAGAGCTGGGCGCTTCGGAGGAAGCGCAAAATCCGCCGAGCCGAGCAGCTTTCCGGGCGTCCAACCTCCAGCCGGGGCCCTCCGCCTCTGCCCCTGACCGGAGGGCCTCGCTATCCTCCGCTGGGGCTCTTTGGCGACGCGGGGTTTAACTTTCCCTCAGATGCCCCTCTTCTTCTCTGCCCCCTTTCTTTCCCTCCTCTGGCATTCCTGGGTTTCCCACCGCTCTCCTTCCTCCGTTTTCCCCTCCCTCCCGTCTCTCCCTTTCTTTTCCCTGTTCTTCTTCTTCTCTCTTTGCGCTTTCTTCCTCTCTTGGGCTTTTTCCTCCTTCTCTCCCTTCCCATTTTTTCCTCTCCTCCTTCTCCCCCCTCTTCCCCCCCATCCTGCCGCGCCCCTCCTTCACCGCTCTCCTCTTGGCTCTCCTTCCCCCCCTCCAGGATGCTGATGGAGAGGTCCCCCAGTGACCCGCCGCGGGATGCGGTGCACGGAACCGGAGCTGGAGCGGAAGGCGTCGGCGAGCCGGACTTGGGACTGGGTTCCGGCAGCAGCAGCAGCAACGGCGGCGGCGGCGATCGGAGGCGCGGAGGAATGGCCCTCCCGGGGGAGCCGGCCTTGCTCGATGGAGTTGCCAAGGAAACGGATGGGCCACCCCCCTCCCCCGGCCCGGGCCCCCCTGCTGCGCCGGTGCCAGTGATCGAGCTGGTGCGCACAAGCCGCCCTATAAAAGCCAGAGACGCGCCGCTCGGGGCCCTGCAGAGCCAGAGAGAGTCAGACGCCAGCTACAGCAGCAGCATCCGAGCTCCGCGAGACGAACCGGCCACCGCCCTCGCCCTCGCCCTCGCCACCACCGCGGGCACTGGAGCGGGCACGCCCCCGGCCGGTGGTGGCATCGGTGGCGGCAGCAGCGACGTCCGCATGGTGCACCTCAGCCCTACGGCAGCCCCTGCGCTCCCGCCGCCGGCCAGAGCCATGCTCTATGGCCTCGGGGCTCCGCTCAGCGCCGCCAGCAGGTCCGTTGCGCAGCCCGGCGGGGCTTGGGATGGGGGGCTTTGGGGAGTTGGGGTTGGGGGGCAAACCCGGTGGGAAGGAGGGAACGGTTCTCCGTTAGCTTCTGCTTGATTCCTGTCCCCAGAGGAAGAGATCTTCCCCGCTGCCTGCCTGAGTTTTGTGGCTCGCAGCCGTGTCTCTCATTCGCTTTTTCTTCTCTAAGACCCAACGCGGTTGGTTTCGGTGTTTCGCAGGCGCTGTTTTTCTTTGTTTTTATGCTTTCTCTTTGTCCCCCCCCCCCGCCCCCGATTTTCCTTCTCCGTGTGGGAAGGTTGGGCTGTGAAGCCCCGCTAGTATCTCTTTTTCTCTTGGGCTGCGTTCTCTAAATCTACTCGCAGTGGACTATATATATAGGTAGATGTGTGGGGCTTTGTGAACGTGCGCGTGTTCCTACGCGCGTGTCTGTGTGCTGCCGTGCAAGGAAGTCAATGCGATTTTCCTCCCTGAGCCGATAGATCAGAAGAGAGAAAAAAAAAACCAATGGACAATCGAAGCAAACCGATCTTCTCTTCTTTCTGCTGTCGGTCTGGTATTAAAGTCACAAACAACGTTTTCTGCTGAAAATAAGGCAGAGAAGACTAGGTTTAAAGCCAGCATTAAGTGTCCCGTTATAATCCTTAGGCATCAGCCCATATAATCTGATGCCTTCTAGAGGTGTGGGACTACTTCTCCAATCACCCTTTGGAACATTAGTTGGGTGATGATGGACATTGTTATCCATAGATCTTGGAGGCACCATGTTGGCAAGGTTGGTACAGACCATTTATCAAAATGTGGCAGGTTTGCGGCAAAGACCTTTTAAAATGTTGCCACCCCACCTTCCACCCTCTTGTCAAAAGAAACACAAAATGCTTACTTGTAAGAGATGAAATATTTGTAATATAGCATAAAAACTTAAATTTGGGGGAAATGCCTGAATCAAGGGGGAAAATCATTCTAGAAATTATATTTAGTGTTAATGGATGTTTATTCACGTGTTATTATTATTTAGGCAATCATTTTTCCTCACTGCAGAAATGCAGTACACGTTAACATACATGTGTTACATATGCTAGGAATGAACATCGTGGGAGAAAAAGAAGACCAAGCTAGCTTAAAGGGTTAGGAAAGGTATGAACAATGTATCTGGGAGTTAAATACTGTAATCCTAGTAATTGTCTGATAGACCAGACAATTCTTGAAAATGTGCTTCAAAATGTATTTTAATTCTTCTGTTAGAAATGTTTGACAAGTGTTGGGCCTCTGGATCTGAAAAGCCAAGAAATTTAGATTTCTTGTTATAAAATGGTTTCATGCTAAAAGTGTGGTAAACATTGCCCACACATGGTGCACAAACGGCAACAACAGGCAACATCCCTATTGTGGGAATTTTGCCTATTATGTACATTTTCAGCAGTAGAAAATGATGTTGAGACTCTAATCCTGACTGGTGCACCAAATTCACCACCAAATTCAATAAGATTTTTCTTTTTTGAGATTGCAGTTGAATGATGCAGTTAGGAGATGTCTGCAGAGCTAATTTCTCTTCTCCCCCCCACCCCTGCTTTTCTGCTTTTTCCTTTGTAGTGGATATTTTGGTGAACCCGAAAACTTTTCAATGTATAACAACAACCGAGTGAAAAGAAGACCATCCCCCTATGAAGTGGAGCTCTCTGATGGTGAGCTGATCCCCATCACCACAACATCCCCCTCCCAATGTGTTTCTTTGTGGGTAGTATGGCAGCTAAAGATTAGCAATTGCTATTTCATTCCTTGTATTGCTGGGTGATGATGCTGAGGAGAAGGGGCTGGGGTCTCTAGAGACAGGAAATTCTTGTGTAGGGCAATTTATAGCTTGCAGCAAAATGTTGCAGTATTGTGTGCTTTGGTTTGGATTTCTAGCCCTCTTCATAGATAACCAGAAGCCGGAATTCCATGGTTAGTGACCAGTTATTTTGTTCCCTTGGCTGTTTTAAATTTTGGATGGATGGATGGATGTATAGGTAGATAAAAGGTAGATATAGATAAATTGGTAGATAGATAGATAGATAGATAGATAGATGATAGATAGATGATAGATAGATAGATAGATAAGATAAGATAAGATAAGATAAGATAAGATAAATAAAGAGAGAGTTGATATAGGCTTTATGGCTCCTTTAGAGCTGTTCCTGTAATCCGTAACAACTGTGAACTAAAATCACAATTTTATTTTATTTTTTAAATGCAATCTGTTAATTACATTAACAGGGACAGTGCTTGGAAGCTAGAGGTTGCAATTCAAATCTTTTCTTATTTTCTTCAACTGTGTTGCTTTATTGCAATGAATTCTCTGTCCTGTCATATATCCATACCTGGTCGGCCTGCTGTGGTAGGGGAATGGATAAAGCACCAGCTTTTGTGCTGGCATTTTGCAAATTCCAGAACAGAGAAACTCAGGTAGAATCAAAAGGTAGATTAGTTCATGGTTTGGAATTGCAGATGGGAAGGAAATAAATGGGAAATGGGACAGTCTCATTTCTCAGTCCAGAAGGAATCTGATTGCATCTTTTGAAATGATCGTATTTGATTAAAAAGTATAAAAGCTACAACTTCCTTCAACAGATGCATGTGGTGGCTAAATGATTGCGGGAGTCTTCCCACTCCTTCCCTTCTCATCTCATCCCAATTTAAATTAATTTTGCATGAGTTTTGCTACCTCACACATTTGATGAAATGAGTTGTCGCTTATACCTTGTTAATCTGAAAAGATGCTACCAAGTTACTTCTGGTTTTTATGCTGCCCTAGACATACACAATTCTCTGTGTGTAGAACCACATTTGTTCCATAACAAATAAAGGTAGAAATTGGGGAGGTGTAGCATCTGTGTTTTAAACTCTCTCTGCAACTCTTCAGCCACGTATGTATTTAGCCTCTCCTGGAGTTTGTTTATTAATTCTGGAACTTACTGAAATGTAAACACAAAGATGTCATTTTATGTTTTTGAAAGTAAAAAATAAAAAGGGATGATGGTTTGATAAATGTATTACATTCTACATTACCATGTAGAATGGCTTCAAAAGCAGAGCATTACCATGTAGAATGGCATTCAAAAGCAGAGCAAAAAATGAAGTGGGGGGGGTCAATGCAAGTGAAGATTTAGTTTAAAGCCATTTTAGATTATATATAGCATTGTGGCTTTTGTGGAATTTGTCTTTCATTTTGATGAAAGCATCGATCCAGCAAATGTGCTATATATACAACACTAGTCATTTGTATTCATCTTAGTTATATATTAGGTTTATATGAATATTTGATGCTCTGAATCAGTTTGGACTGATTCACAGATCAGATCAATGGATCCTTTGGTTCAAACCGAACCATGGGTGCCTGGAAGTATAGAAGGCCGCTGCAAATGAAACCCCTTTTTATGATACATACACCAAAGGGGCAGGGCTTCAGCCACATGGTTGTGGCTGCCAGGTTTACTCTTTTGATCTTCCTCTCCATTTCAGTTCTTTCTTGAACTGAACACATTTGAATCGAATCAGACCAATGTGGATGTGTACATTTAATGGTCTAAATTAGTCCCAAGTGAATCTAATTGGCAATTGTTTCATATTTATGACAGTTGGGGTGGCATGATCCCCTTTTGCAACCTTCTGACAAGCAAAGTGAATGGGGAAGCCAGATTCATTTAACAATAATTTGACTAATTTAACAACTATAGTGATCCACTTAACAACTGTGACAAGAAAGGTCGTAAAATGGGACAAATTCACTTAACAAATACTTCACTTTGCAAAAGAAATAGTAATAGCACTTAGACTTATATACCGCTTCATAGTGCTTTTACAGCCCTCTCTAAGCAGTTTTACAGAGTCAGCATATTGCCCCCAACAATCTGGAGCCTCATTTTACCCACCTTGGAAGGATGGAAGGCTGAGTCACCTTTGAGCCTGGTGAGATTTGAACTCAAATCAGTCAGCTGAAATTTTGGACTGAATTGTGATCATAAGTCGGTAAGGCAATGACTTCAAAGGATGTAGATAGGCTCTGAAAGGCTAGAAGGAAGAGTGGACAATGTTGGAGGCTTGATGGGCCAGACATTGTACAGGTGAGGAGTGAGCAAAGCCAACATCTGGATGAGGCTTTATGAACGTGGAGGAAAAACTGTGGTCGTAGCTCTAGCCACTGTTATTGAACAGGCCCTGACTGTCATGTATTGCTCATTTGTTCAAGAGCAGCTAAGAAGAGATTCAATTATTATGACGAGGCTGACTTAGTTATCCCAGAGCAGTCGTGCTATACCTAGTGCCCTTCTGATATTGTGAATTCAGCTCTCCTAATTCCTTGCAAAAAATGCCTTAAGGATAATTAATTGGCTCAATGCCAAACAATGGTCAGGCCCTTTCCCCAGTATAAGATTATTTTAAGAAGATGGGCAGGAATTTTAATAGATTTTAAAGCAATAAAATGCCTAATTTATTTGGTCATGATTTTTCCATATATAATAACTGATGTTTAAGCTGCAGAGTTAAACTTGAAAATCTCAGATTCAGTCAAATTCTTCCCCCCCCCCCTAATTTTGTATCATCAAAGTGGGGTTTCAGATTTTGATCCTCTGATATTGGCATGTGTTGGCAATTTTTTTCTTTTAACATATATGCATATTCCCTTCATATTCCTTCATACTTCTTTACTACTCATTTATTAACTACTGATATTTTAATCGTTCAACTTTTAGATAGCTCAATATCAAATCCATAACATTTATTAATACGCACATCAGATAAATATTTCATGATACTTTTTAGAAGTTCATTTAATAACTGAAATTTCAATGCTTTATGGTAAGTTATATTTTGTGTGGCTCATCCATTTAAAATAGCTAGGTTCAATGCTAAGCTGTTGGATATGATAGTGTAGTAGAAACAACACTTCATTGACTCCTTTTTCCATTTAATAACTGATCACCATTTCCTATAAATTTGCCTTTTATACAGCATCACCAACAGAAATAGGAGACCAATATTTGTATTATTCTAAATAAGCTCACTGAAAACAAATGCCCCATGCTTATTGGCAGCAAATCTTAGTTCAGATAAGACCTGTCCTCTGCAACCTCAGAGGTGAGGTGATGTGATAATAATTTTAAGAAACAGGAAAGCAGATTTTAATTGAATGTTAGAGCTATTTAACAGAATAGAATAGAATTCTTTATTGGCCAAGTGTGATTGGACACACAAGGAATTTGTCTTTAGTGCATATGCTCTCAGTGTACATAAAAAGACAAGATATATTCATCAAGAATCATAAAGTACAACATTTAATGATAGTCATAGGGTACAAATAAGCATTCAGGAAACAAGCAATATCAATATAAATTGTAAGGATACAAGCAACAAAGTTACAGTCCTGCAGTCACAAGTGGGAGGAGATGGGTGATAGGAACGATGAAAAGACTAACCTCAGTGCCTGGGAGGAAA